ACTTCAAATTCTTCCTCAAATCTACTTGTAACACGTTCGTTAAACTCCTCGACTTCTTCTTCAAGCTTGCTAATATTCTCTTCTACCCCGTTGACGCTCTCTTCGACTTTGTTGATGTTTTCTTCAACCTCGTTGACTCTCCCTTCAACTTCATCGACTTTCACCTTGATTTCGTTAATGTCATCATTAATCATAGCTACGCTAATTTTAACCTTTGCATCAACAATTTCGTCTTCAATTTCATTAACTCCTACGCCATGATCCTCCACCAACCTGGGTGCTTGAATAACGAACGAAGTATCTGTACCCTCATGAACTTGGACAACGGATGGAATATCTTCGGTTTTTCTAGAAGAACTATTTCGCTTATGATAATATTCCTCCCTCCATGCTAACTCTTGAGCCTCTTCAAGGGAGACGAATGCACGCCACCCCATCCTAAGACGTATTGAAATATTCAATCCTGCCAAGTACCGTGAAATTTCCGTACTTTTAGATACTTGCAGGTTATTTAAGTTTGCTAGTCTCATAAACTCAGCAGTATACTTGTTAACAGATCTATTCCCTTGCGAACAATTACAATATAATTGAAATAGACGTTGCTCATAACCTAAGGGTAAAAAACGATCCATCAACATTTTTCTCATCCTCCTCCATGATTGGATTGGAGCTTTTTCTTGTGTAGCTCTCTTCCACTGTATCCCATCCCACCATGCGGCTGTACTACCCTTTAACTCACACGTCACCAATTGTACCATCTTATTCGGCAAAATATCCATCAATTTGAAATAACTTTCGACTTCTGATACCCAATCGATAAAATCCTCAACTTCAAGAAAATTTCCACTAAAAGAAGGAATTTCAGCTCTTACCCGATATTTATCACGATCCTTTTGCCTCCTTATAGGCGGGTTTTCTTCAAAATAAGAGTTGCCGCTCACCTTTGAGTAGTCATCATACCTTGATTGAAGTTAAACAGGTCCATGATAATTGTGTCTAACATATGCACCTCGGGCTACACCGTCGGCAATCATCGTGTTAGATTCAGTCCTTCTGTTGTTGTTGTTAAGGGCAAATCCCTCGCGCACCACCCGCAGATTTTGCAGTTTTTCAACCCCGCGGTCATCGCCACCGTAGTTGTTGTCTCCATGTTTCGCACATTTCGCCATCTAACCAGGAAAAACCTCGCTACTGATGCCAACTGACTTCAGAACGGAAGCACGATAAAGAATTAATTTCTACGAATTAATCTTATAGAACAAGATAACATTCGGAATCCACCGAAAACTCTGGAATCCACCAGAAAAATAGAGAAAACTCTAAATATTTTATTAAAATTTGAAATTCTTCTCAAAATAAAGTCCTAAGGCAGCTATTTATACTAAAGAACTGAAAAACCCTAATTAAACTAAAAAAAATACTAAAAATTACCAAAAACGGCAAAAATGAGTTAGAGCCTGATTCTAGTAGATCTTGTACTTTTGGGAACAACCCAATTTACGGAATCCTTATACGATTTTTCTATGATTTGATATTGATTTTCTAAAACTTGCCTAAAATAGAAAAAATGAACTTTTAGGAGTCGAAACGACGTTGGATTGCTGAAATTTGACGTGATTCATGAGCTTTGCTCATGAGTTTTGTTCCTTGCGCCGTTTCACTTGAGACAGAGTCCGTTTCGTACTCAAATACAATTTGAGTTCGTAGAAACCCTTATTTTTCCATAATTTCTTTTGATATTTCCACCAATGCCCATTAATAACTCTTCTCCGAATTAAAC